ACTCGCGCCATCATACCGTCGTGCAGCTGATGCACCATCTGAGTGAATCGCTCCGGACATCAAGATCAATTCGCCGTAGCAATTGGAACGTGAGTAAAAGCTCACCGACGTCTTGTCGATAGTGGAGACAATAAACGTTTAAGGCTGTCAGGCGCTATTCGTACGTCAAATATTTGAGTTCAGGGACAAGCTATATAGCACGTCCTTGCACACCACCTTCAAGATGAGCTATGCCCTCCCGAAGTGACGGACGCCAAGCCTGTACCACATACTCCATGTGTGTCCACACAAATGTTCCCTATACATCACCGACGATATCGGCATCCAGTTCGTGCAAGATTTTGCCCACATTCCTTGAAGTTGTCGTTGTCTGCACTGCGATGTTACGATCACATCGTCTTTAATGAATACCTCACACACACATACAGAAACGGCGAAGGCTATCTTATTCGGTATGTTGCGCCGCCGCCGCCACCACCACTGACAACATCAATGACGACACTCCTACCTACCTGCAAAATATTACAACCACTCCTCCTCCTCCTCCTCCTCCTCCTACTCCTACTCCTCCCTCTACTCCACCACCAAAACCATCACCACTCGATGCTTGACCAGGTCTCGTGAGGGAATGCATAGACGGACAGTTTGCAGCTTTGTCCACCACTGTGCCCGATCCCACCTCCAGTCATCTGGACATTGTCTTTCCATCGGAGCCCGGTGGGTGTGCGAGGGAGGGAGATGATGCGTAGGTCTGCTTCACAATAAACTGATTTCCGCGAAAGTCACCAGTGCTGCGTCCAGTCTGCGCGCAGCCGATGCAGGTCGTGCCTCGTGGCGATCACATGATTCCACCTAGAGGACCCAGTTCACAGTCTAGCTCATTGTATCACAATTGCGACGGCCATTTATACCGAAATGAAGGCATCACATCAGTAAGCGTGTTGATCGCAGTCAATTATGTGGTCATTCTTCTTATCAACCTCATCTCTGCACTGATCAGGCCGATCACATCTGTGCCGATCATATATACGCCTTATAAGCACCACCAATTGCGTAACTGCACACCACCTACCAGAGGGAGTGGTGTGAGGGAGATATCACTCAGTCGAGAGTAATCCAAGGGCCACATCAAGAATAAGGCATGCATTCTGATCCTAGGTCCTGAGTAGGGGGCGTGTTATGCCGCCAGTTTTCACAACGTCAAGAAACAGCTGTTTGCCAGTACTAATAATCAATGCAGAGCTCATTTTTCCGTTTAAAGTGAAAACATTAAGAGACGTAGCCGACTTTGACAGACATCACCCTCTCTGCTCTAAACCCATCTCGGTGGCTGCTCGAGTTAGGCGGTGTGGGAATAGGGAGACTGGATACATTAGCTAAGATAACTTGACAGACCTGTTTACGGCGTGGGAAATATGGGAAGCAATAAAACCAAATTTGGCAACACATTCAAATATTACAGAAAAAATGGCACGTGTTTCGGTGCATTTATCGCGCTTTCTATTTTATAACTTATCGACTGTAACATTCACAGTGTGTAGGGAGTACAGATCATTAAATCGAAACGTAAGGCAGGAGGTCGTTTGACACGAGGTTGATGTCAGCACCCACAATATGCACATTGCCGGACAAATAAGCAAATGCGTCACCAGCAGAACTGGCCAATCAAAATGCAGCTGCCCATCGAAATTCAACTGCGATGCTGCCCGGATGGCTGACCGGTCGCCCTCTGACTAGCTGACGCAGAAGAAAGGCAGATGACCCAGCTGGCGCATCAAATTCACGCCAACTCTGGCATCCTGCAGCAGGATCTGCGGATCACTCCAATCGCGGAAGGGGGGATTGCGGAAACCGCAGCTCGCCGGATGAAAGCCTATCGCAGTAAAGCTAAAGTGGGGGGGGGAGAGGGTGGACAGAGATAACTTGTCAGCCAGTGGACTGGGAGATGGGGAGCCAGGCAGTTCTCTGGCATTTCTGTCGTGCATAGCTGACGCACACGTGCTCATGGTCTGGTGGGATGGTACTCTATCGGTCACACGGTACCACCATGCAGCATCATCTCCGTGACACTTGCCCCCAAAACAGACCACACAATGGATACGCTGCATAATTACGAAGGAGCTAGATCGGAGTCTGGTAGGCCATATGACGATGCTCACTCCATAACACATGCTAGCATTTGGTGTATGGCGGCACGTCCAGATCGTAAAATTACACAACACTGAGCCCCATGGAAGACAAACATTTATGTTAAGACGTCGTGGTTTGTGACGACAGAGACGAAGGTGGGGAGGGAAGGAGGAGGATATTGTTGGCTCCTAGCCGCCTGGCGCAGATAGTGGATCCTGATGGAAAGCACCTCCTCGTAGGCACAAAACATGTGGTTGATATGGTGATTCCTGAGGCCAATTGGAAAGGAGGGAGGCGATGCGTCGTTGTTGAAACTGCTGACGAGATGTCGCAGTATTCGGCCACAGAGAGACAAGATGCTTCGACCTGTAGCATTATTTAAATTTGGATGCAATATAAATATGTACATGCCCGATCTTAAGAGGACTCTGTGCTGTGGCATCCGCTCCAGTGTCCCCTCACTCTCCCCCCCCCCCATTTTACCGCACCGATTACCGCGACAACAGGCATTCCGCTGACACACCGGCCATCCATCTGGTATGTGCTGGGCCGCCTCTTTCTCACCGTCAATGGATCACGTCTGCGCACACAGTTTCTCACTCGCTTCGAACCTCCCCGCTGGTTACCCGTGCGCGCCCTTCTCATCATGCACCTCCGACTCCGCCCCTTAACCATCCAATCACATGTCCTGCACTCACCGACACATTCCCTCATGCTGACACGGACATGTGACGTCCACGCAAAAAACCTCATATCACGACTTCCGCTCTCCTGAGCCGACGCTTTCCTCTGACCACAAGAAAAAAGCCAACTTGCGACAAAATGCCCTGAGTACAGAATAAGCCAGTTCTCACTACCTCTTGACTGCTGACATTAGACGGAACGAACTTACTGTGCGTGATATAAGTTGACCCCACATATCAAGCAGGCTCGGGGACTGGTTGAAGCGCTGGCTTATGCCCTTCAACGTAAGTAAGTACCACATTCTTCAAGTCAGCAGATGCAGAGACTCCAAACCCACGAATTACTTTCTAAACGGTACACCATTGCAGCAGGTTGACAGTCGGAAATACTTGGGTGTTTGGATTACATCCTCATTCTAGCCAATACTGAACTGCTCGAAGGCGATCTAGTCGGCCATGTCTATATTGCAACTCATTAGGCAAGCCTTTATGGACTTTGCTGCGGAGAAGTTCAGAGGACTTGCGGTCGCCTAAACCTTCTTCCTTTACGAGTTCATGGTAGCGTTGAGGATCAGAATGTGGAGTGGGCCGAAGAAGCTCGGTGTAAGGAGCATCTGTGAGAGCGTCGCATAAGAGAGTTTAAACGTCTGAGAGAATGGTGGGAGGGTGGGGAGGGGGGGGAGGGGAAGAGCCTCAGTTAGACTGAGTTGTCTTGTCGTGGCACCGATACGTAAAGCGTAGAGTTCTGAGTTGCTGCCAAAATTCTAGAGGGGACACAGTGACTCTACGGATTCGAGCTGTCGTGAGGCTAGTGAGACGCATCGCGCGGAAACCATCTTCGCGGTCGACGAGGGCGGGGACGATTTAGGTCACGGTTACATGCGGGACGAATGCAGTGCAGAGGGCGCAGATGGCTGGCACGACGAATGTCCGCAACTGGCCGTGTCCACTACACCCGAGTAGGGTCTCACGCAGTGGCAGTGCCATAGAGGCCATGTTAAGAAGGAGCCATTGCAGTCTCACTCTCAGCCCAGCAGTCGGCCAGTCCGCACTGGGCTGGCTGCGAGGCCTGTGGTATCCCGTCAGTAGGCAACCTTCCAAGTCATGGCTTTTTAGCGCACCATGATACTTTCAAGTTCGTCAGATAGTTTATAGAAAGGAATATGTGCTGAGACCACCATGATCTTACTCCCTCAGTCCCAATCGCACTCCGAGCTGGCCAGGTGGGAGTGGACGCAGTGACCGACAAATCTAGCCACTTCGTCTGGACTTGCCACACACAAGACCTGACCCCTCCCTCCTCCCCCAGACACAAGCACCAGAATCTCACACAAAAGGGGGTGGGCGACATGCATGTCATGTGTGTGTGAGTGTCAGAGGTCACGTCGCGAAAGAGGCATTCCAGCCTGACTCTTAGTCCACCGGTCGGCCATTGTGCACAAACGCACCTTGGGCTGAATGCAAGGCCTGAGTTCCATCGGTAGTTGGCAGTCTTGCAAGTCATCACGGCGTTTAACGCATCGTGACAGTCTCTGGCCTGGATCACACATGCACCAGAGGGACCACATCGAGAAGGAGTCGGGAGACACTTGCGGCTTACGAGGAAAGATGTGCCAATCACCTGCTAGCGTTGTGTGGTGTCGAGTAGATGCTGGTGAGGAGAGATGTGGTGGTATGGTATAGACGGCGGTGCCTTCTGAGTCGGGCGCAGGAAATTTCGTGCGCCCAGCGGGACACAAGTGAATAATAATAATAATGATAATAATAATAATAATGGCTAGGGGATGGAGCATGCATTTTTGATAGTGCGCCTTGTTAGCTAACCGCACAATGGAATGGTTGTACCCAGAGGTACGCACATGGAAATGAAGGAGGTGTTGATTGCTGTGGAAACAGAAGACTGAGACAGAGAATTGGTCGAGCAGCCCTTACTGTGACAGAGGAGTGCAGAAGCGGATCGGAAGGCAGTGGCGAGAATTATTTCAGCAAGGCAAGGTGCGACGAGCGCGGTGCGCGAATGCTTGCGTGCGTGCGTGCGTGCGTCCATGAACAGATGACCTTTGACCGCCTACAATCCGGATCAGCAAATGACACAACGCCGATAGGGCTCAAGCTGTCTCCACGACGTGGCCATGTCACGTGCGTTGCAATTGGCAGGAGGTGATACTTAAGCTGACAGAAGGCGTCATGAGAGACCAGGAGAACGGACTGCCACAGGCACACAAGCTCGCCTCAACCGCTGACTGTCCTACCACGCAACATCCCCGCCGCCGCCGCCACCGTCGCAGGACAGGTTAGTTAAACGGTCTTCTTACTCAGCGTAGGTATGGGTTTGACGAATGGCATTAATTAGAATCAACTGGCAGAGCGTCAGCCAGATGCTAGTGATTACCCCAAATCCACAAATCCCTCCTTTCACCTCGTCTAATCGTAGCCCTCGGCGGCAGCCCAGTCAGCCGGATGACTCACAAACCCCACATCTTCTTTGAGGTTCATCTGGGACGTCAGTAAAATCGACATCTCCACTCCTCACTAATTCCCGCGAGCCAAAATGGTGCTTCACGAGGCGATAATGTTCTTCGACGTGACACTCCTCCTTGCGTCCATCTCACCGCATTTGGTGTGCAAGGCTATGCGCTGCGTCCTGCATGGAAGGAAGTATGGCAAATCACGGGCATGTCTTCACTGATATTGCCATCATATCTAAGTAATATTACATGCCGATGCCTCCCGTCATTCCGGGTAAATTGTACACATATATCTGCATTTATGCTGCACCAGATAGTGCACTGACATATGTGTCGATTGTTTGCTATTTAGAGCATATAACTGCATCTTCTCCTATCGGAATCATTGTAGAAAGGGCATGTTTAAGCCCAATCCTATTAATGGACGCCAAGGACTGCTCGTCTGTGATCGATTACTGCGTCCTTTCGTCAGCGGTTTCGGCAACGACGCATTACCTCCCTCCTCTCCAATTGGCAACAGGGATCACCACATCACCCACCTGTTTGGTGCCTACGAGGAGGTTTTTTCCACCAGGATACACTATCTTCGCCAGGGCCTAGGATCAAACAATATCCTCCTATTTCCCGGTCCATTCGGCTGCGTCAGAACTGATTACATGGACTTCCTACAGCGTCTTAACAGAAATGAGTACGTTCCCTGGGGCGGCTTGGCACTGCGTTTTTTTACCAACTGGTGTAGATATATACCTAGATAGACGTTGTAGAAAGTCGCACGAGGATACACCATACAGAAGTGGCCCACTAGTCGACAACTACAATGCGTGCACTGTTGGTACACCCTCAGGATTGGGTAGACCAGCTGGGTAAGCGTGAATTCGTATACAACAGTCATTGTTCTGTCTGCGATTCAGGATGCTCTGACGAAACTAGCAAATCGGCCACACACACACATTTATGATCATCAATGAAGGGTACGGAAGGGAGACCCTCTGTCTTGATTAGCCATACATGCACTGGATATCGGACACAAGTCTACTATGGAGGTGTGTCGAATGACTCTTACATCCAGCGGCATATTGAGTTGTGGAAGCGCCGTAGAAAAATGTTGAGAAGAAGCGGAAGTGACGGCAACCAATTCAAAGAGCATACACAGACCGCTCATTGATGCGCTCGTTAGGAAATCGTTGACTTTAAGGCACGTTTAGAGAGTGAACTGTTTTGCCTACTTTGCAACGACAGTTTGCGGAACAAGATTCATTACTTGCCCTAGGAACCTATACATGCATGTGTGTGTGGTCTGGAGAGGTTCTCGGATGTCACGTTTAAAAATGTTTGCCGGGCTCGCTCTTTTGTTGAGGACGATGACCTAGGGTAATAAGTTTTAAAATATCCGAAACAAGGTTTGTTGTTTCCTCGAATGACTTCTTCAGCATGAACATATACACACGCAAGGAAGGAGAAACGTCAACGTCTGTGTTGACTGCACGTGGCCCATGAGAACATCTTCGTTTACAGTAGGCGAGATTATCTGGGAACAAAATTACCCTTATTGCGCACACATTTTCGATACGGGTTCCCCAGCTCGTTGTCAGACTTATGGGACACACACAAAAACAGTTCACCCTTTAACCCTGTCGAACAAGCGATTCTGCAGTTGGCTGAAGCTTGCGCCATTGCGTGTTGAGACAGATTTCCCAATTTGGCCTCAATAGACGGCATCACAACTGGCACATGGGATCTTGCAGACAACCTCTGTTCTTTCAAATGTAATTAATTTACCCTGGAGAGTTTTACTAGGTTTTGACACCAAAATGACTCTCACCGAATAGTCATGTTCAGTTTGGAATAAATGAAATATTGATTGTATCAGTCAGTATCAGTCAGTATATTTGGAGTAAACGACAGAGGCCATGAAATCTCCATTTAGAGGGTAGAGGTATAAAGTAAAATAGTTAAACTGCAAAACTTCTGCTTGCAGTTTTAGTAGGGAGAATTCATAAATCTAATAATGTAACATAAATGTGAAAGAGGTATTATATTCGCAAAATAATTGCGAAAAACTTTGTTCACCGCATTCGGACTGCGAAAATTTCAATATGGGCTAGGTTTGACGCAAAAATAGGATCTGTTGAAATCATGTTAGTAGTATATTCATAGTCATTTCAAAAATCCGTTAGTTCAGGCTTCGGCACTTTGGGTTGCCTTTCAGATGGCGAGTATCCAGTTGTCTCTTGAACACGTTCACGGTAGGGGAATTAACAACAAACACGTTCCATTGGTGAATGACCCTCTGTGAGAAAAAGGAGTAACGTTGATTTGTGTGGCACAGTTCCCTTTAAAGCTGGTAATCATGTCGTCTGAGATAAGACTTGGGTGCCATTTCAAAAAACGTTTCCCAGTCGACTTCCAGATTAAGTCCTCTTACCAACTGGAACGTTGCTATGAGGTCACCACAGTCCTGCCTGTAGTGGAGGGGATAGAGGTTCAAGGCTGTCAGGCGCTGCTCGTACGTGAAATGTTTGATGCCAGGAACTGCCTTTGTAGCACGCCGTTGTACACCTTCAAGGATATCTATATCCTTCCGAAGCCACGGCCGCCAAGCCTGTACTCATATTCCAGTTGCGGCCGCACAAATGTCCCGTATACTTTGCCAAAGACATCTGTATTCAAGTGAATAAACGTTCTGCGTATCGCGCTCATCACTGACATTGCCCGCGCAGCGGCTTTAGAACGCCGTGTGGTGACGCTTAGATCGTCTTTAATGAATACACCGAGATCTTCTTGCACATCTACGGTTTGAAGTGGTTGATTGTCCAGGATATACTGTCGTGAGGGTGCATTTGTTCTTCGCCTCGCTGATACCACGGGCATTACTGCACATTTTGTGACGTCGAATTTCATGCACCATTTATCGCCCCATGCGTGCAAATTATCTGTGTCCTCTTGTAGTATCTTGACGTCATCTTCATCTTTTATCTTTTAAGATTGTCTGCAAAGAGCGCGATGTCCGATTTCACTTCCTGTACTAGGTCATTTACATAGATAATGAATAGGAGCGCCCAAGAACTGACCCCTGTGGGACTCCACTTGTAACAGGTGCCCATTCTGAGCAGTAGCCGCTCGCAGTGACTATTTGTCTACGACCGTTTAGGAACTCTTGAATCCAGTTCAGAAGATTTCCTCTTATCCCTACTTCGGACAACTTTTGATCGAGGCGCTTATGTGGGACGCAATCAAACGCCTTGCTGAAGTCGAAGTAAATGACATCTACTGGATGTCATTCATCCAAGGCCTTTGACCAATGTTCGAGTGACGTAAGCAGGTTTGTGAAGCAGGACCTCTTTTCGCAGAAGCCATGTTGGACTGAACTGATATAACAGCGGAATGTATCGAGTGATGTAATTGATTTTTTAACTAACTTTTCCATAAGTTTGCAACAAATGCATGTCAGACTCACCGGTCGGTAATTGGTGGGACATAGCCGTGATCCTCCCTTGTGGATAGGTACGATGTTTGCCAACTTCCATGTGTCAGGTAGTTTGCCAGCTTCCAGCGATTTTTGGAAGATTATAGAAAGTGGTTCTGCTTATTCTTCAGCTAGCTGACGCAGGAGTACACCTGAGATCTCATCTGGTCCAGGTGACTTGGCCGGATCCAGCTTATTTAACTCTGATAAAACTAACTGCGGTGTAAAAAATACTGTGCTTATAAGTGGTTGGTTGGCGAGCTGTGGAAGAGAATAGGACTGGTGGGGTGGTTCCGCGGTGTAGATACTTTGGAAAAACTCGGAAAGAAGCTCGGCATTTTGAAAGCCATCGCTCACAATTTGGTTATTTTTGTCCTTTAAGGTTGCCAGATGGTCTCGGTTTTTCGTATTGCTCCCGATATATGCATAGAATGCTTTAGGTTTTTGCTGCGCCTCTTCCAGGAGCTTTAGTTCATAAGAAGCTCGTACTTCTCGGATAAGTCATTTGCGTAAGGTTCGTTGTTGTCTGAATTCCTGAAGTTTTTTTGGGTGCTCCGTTTGTAAAAAATTGTGCACAACTTGCGTTTTTTTCGGATGTCCTTCTTAACCTATGTTGTCAGCCATTTCGGTTTGTTTCCGGTTGGATGTTTCTTGAGGGGACAGTATCGTTCAATCAAGTCTCTCATAGTTGATTCGAAGGTTGTCCAGCATTCATTGACATCTCCTCATAATGCTTCTGTCCATAGTGTGAGTTCAATCTCTGATTTCATTGCCTCAAAGATACCCCGCCAGACATTTCTTAACGACTTTGAGTTTCGTTAGGGGACAGCTACAAGTGTCGACTCTCACATTAATGTCATGTGATCACAAGAACCTAATGTCTAATAGCATTTGGTCGAATCCTTGTCTGTGGACCTTAACTGTCATAAGGTCCCAGTTAATCCGCGGAGCATTGAAATCTCCTACGATAATAATGTTTTTCTTTCGACTGTCCTCGCGGAGTCGAGTGATTAACGCTTGATCTTCGTCGGCAGGTTGATTGGGAGGCCTATATACAACGGTGACAGTAACGTTTTCGGCTTTTGGGACCAGCAAATGACACAGCAGCATCTCCAGATCATGCGCATTTACACATTCTTCAACAGGATTATATTCGACCGCATTGCTGATATATAGGGCAACTCCGCCACCTCGCTTTTTTGGTTCGGTCTCGTCTTAGCACTTGATAACCATCTAACTGTATTTGGGGGTCTGTGACATCTGGGGTGAGCCACGTTTCAGTTAATGCAATAACATCAGGACATAGTTCGGCCACAATTATTTTACGTTCGTCGAGTTTGTTCAAGAGGCTTTGTAGATTTCCGTAGAAGGACTTAATTTTATGTAGGTTATTGCTTCGAATTAGTTGCCCTGACGTGTGGCCTTCGTCCAGTATGACAGGCGTCCTCCACAGGAGGGGTTTTTGTCGTCGAACATTCACTCCGTTCATTATTACTAGTCCCTTCTCTCCTTGTTCTTTCAAGGTCGCCAGCTCCGCCATCAGCGCCCTCCATTTCATTCTCTCTTGTACTGAGTAATCCGGTTGAAAAAAAGACCTCTAGTATTCGTTCAAGTAGAAGATCCCTCTGGAGTTTACTTTCTAAAATTATCTTTAAAGGTCTTGGTTTCCTCCCTTGAGAGCTCGCACTATTTTTACTGTTTAGTCGGAAAAGTTTCAGAATCTTAATTACTTCATTTTCTTTTATTATGCTTCCCAGACACTCTTGCAAGATCATGATATCATCATTTATCCTGCATCTGGGGTTATTGTTGGTTAATTCACGAAGTCCATGGACGACTATGCATTGTAATCTGTCCACAGCACCTCCATTCGACGAATTTTGTTGGATAATTGGTCTGACCGATGATGAGGCTTCCCCAATGTGGGCTTCAACGCTAGTTGCATGAATATTCGTGCGAGTATGTACTTCTACTCCCACTCTGGGTTCATTTTTATTCGGTCTTGCGTTGGTCGATGCTCCCCTCACATTAGGCTCGGGAGATGCGCATACCGTCTGGGGACTGTTTTCCTCATTCGTCGGTCCATCTTTATCATTTTCACGCTCGGCCCTCGGTTTCCTTTCTGACGAGACTTTGGATTTTTGCGTCCTTTCCTCATAGTCTTTTCTGTCGCCTTTTTCTCATTCTTTACTGATTTTAGAGGTTTCACGTCACTACTGATACTGCTAATGCGGGTTGTCTCGCGCTCTACTCCTCGTTACCCTGTGCGTCGATGCTGCCAACTTATCCCCTATCATGAAGGTCTGCTGGATAAAATTCTTCATGTTCCTAACTTCTTCCTCTAGTTGATTTAACTTTGAGGCTAGCGTTTGACAACCGCTGCAATAGGTTCCCGCATGCGTCGGTCTTAACCAGTTTGAAAGGCTTTTAGAGCGACCGCCCTGGCGTGCGGCGATAGCGCGCGCGGGGCGGGGGGTCTGCGTCGCAATCTTGTGCCAGTGTGGTCCCGGGTCCGACTCCACAGTGCTCGCTATTTTGTACTACTTCGGAGTTCGACATTCTGTGCTACTTTAGTATACCCAACAAGAAAAAACGATCGGGTGAGACTTTTGCCTTATATGCGAGACGGAAAGCCATTGGCGTCGTTCAGGTCGTTGAGAGTCACTGTGTAAGGTGAATATCTTCGTCTTAAAGAGGATCGTCGAGCAAATACAGGAAGCAGCTGTTTAATTCTAGGACTTTATCGAGTACGTTCGAAATATGATGCATTCAACGAATAAGATTAGAAGAGTAACTCAGCCTATGCGGGAGTTGTTCCAGATGTTTCGATGGAAGGATAATCCGAGTTTCTTGGCTCACAAACAGCAGAAATGAGGAATGGCTGAAGTCCGCGTCCTGCGAATCAGCCTTTGTCGCCAAAGAATTATTTGACGATTAGTCGTGACTTCCGAGTAGAGAATTCCGGGAATCAGGGAATAACAATCCACGCGTGAATTAGTTTAGACTGGCGTGCTCCAAACACTGAAGTAGAGACGAAAACTTCGTAGCTCGGAAGACTTAAAATTTCGAACCTCGTTTCAAACGACGCGCAAGAGGTGTTTTATTTCAACGGTTTTAGTAAGCACATAACACAGAGTCTGTCTAGACGGACTCTGTGTTATGTGTATATATAAAGCTTTATATGCAACCCATCGAAAACACTGAAAATCTCAAGATATGCAGCGATGTGTCAAGGCGGATCTGAAATTCGGCGTTTTCTAGAACAAACATAACGTCCGAATTAGCTTTACGGACGGAAAGACCTGGCAACATGTGCTCATATGGAAAATTTAATTTCCATGGCTTCCCCCCTTGGCGAATTCAAGCGAACTCCTCTTTGTCTTAATGAACCGCGTCTGAATAAATGGAAAAGCGTCACGACTTCTCGGGGAACCCGCCATATCTGACATTACACTAATTCATAAGGGATATTTAAATGTAAATTTCTCTAAAGGACAATTTTCAAGCGTAATTCTTCTTGTCCTGTTTAATTTACTCGTTTTTTGTATGGACAGCCATACCGTACGTCTAAAAGTGGATTTCACACGATTGCAACCATGTTTGACTTTTTCGGAATTTTCTGCTTTTCTAAAAATCAAAATTCCTAAGCAATCTACCATTATCTTTCATTAATATAGGCCTAGGATCCATGCATTGGTGTCGGTTTGCGAGTAATAAGCAGTCACACACAAACACACACACACACACGACAGTTCCACCGTCGATTTCGACGATATCCACCGCGTGCCCCACAGCTGCAGCAGCGGTGGGAGCAGGGACGGTGACTTGCGCAGGGGTTTATAGTGCCAGTAGACTTCCGTAGCATCTACCTACACTCTCCTCCTCCCCCGCCTGAGCCCGGTGTCAAGACCAAGTCAAGAAGACCGGAGACGAGGGAGGCCGCAGGTGGATGGCTTGGACGGATCCTCACCTTGGCGCTTCACTCCGCACCCCCAGGTTCACAAAACAAATGACCAGGATTTTGACCACAAAACAATGGGGTGACGGCAGTGGTCCAGTTGTGCGACGACTGCCGACAACAGGGTCTGCCAAAGCACCCCGAAAGTGTTGGCATTTGTTATAGTGTGCGATCCGATAACGCCTGCCAGAATCAGATATGGCTCCCGTGTTGGTCCAGCGCATCTAACGCGTATCTCGTTTGGAGGACACACAAACACATGCGTAGAGTAGTCGTACCGTCTGTGATGAACAATCACTCCACCTCTCAAATGTACTTCTGTCCGCCTTCCCCCCCCCTCCCCGCTTTAGGTTTACCGCGATAGCCTTCGATCCGCCGGGCTGCGGTTTCAGCACTCCCCCCGTCCGCGATTGGAGTGATCCCGAGGTTCTGCTGCAGGATGCCAGAGTTGGCGTGAATTTGATGCGCCAGCAGGGTCATCTGCCCTTCTCCTGCATCGGCTGGTCAGAGGGCGCCCTGTCAGCCATCCGAGCAGCATCGGAGTTGAATATGGACGGTCAGTCACATTTTAAGTGGCTCACTCTGCTGCTGCTGCTGGTGGTGGCGCATTTGCTTATTTGTTGTTCTAGAATGCGCATATTGTGGACACTGTCAAATGGCCATTTGCGTGGCCTCATGATTTGATTACCTGTACTCCTTAGACACACACACGCACACAGCGCGGTGAATGCAACCAAACTAGTTCAAATTTACCTCAGACTACTGTGAAAGCCTGAAAGGACACATCAAGAAACAGCCCTTTCAGCCTGACCTTCCGTTCTGGGAAGTACCGAGGTGCCCCGTCAAGCTACCACTCCTAGTTCGTCATGGCACATTTAAGTGTGCCAGTTTTATTTTAGTTTGGAATGCTCCAGTGTCAACACCAGTCCCTCTGTTTTACCTACTCGGCCAGTATTCCAAATAACTCCACAAATTACCACATTTTAAGGGATTTCTCCTGTCTACCGATTTTTCACCTCAATGGGTCACTGAATGCTCTCCTAGACAATTAATTTTGCCTGAACATGAAAGCGGAATGATGGGAAATGCTATCATTATTATTTCGTGTGTGTGTGTGTGTGTGATCAGCGTGCTACCGTCAAGTCTTTTCCATTTGCCACCTGATTATTGTACGCCGACATACGAAGGAAGCTTAATTCATGCATTCAGGCTCGATTGAGGGCCTAGTGGTCTGGGAGCTGGAGGAAGATATTGGCGCAGAGGACGGATCGGGGAATGGTGGTCAGATTATGGGAGGCACCCCCGGTTCGGTGGACTTCTTGCCAGACAGCCGTCGTCTTCCGCTGCAGGCTGTCTATGGTAGAGCCTACATGCGGGATAGTTGGCCTGCCTACGTTGAGACGAAAGAGATGCGACGTATGGGTCCTGCCGATCTCCGCTGCCTGCCGCAGCGTCTCCTCGGGATGCCACTACTGCACATTGCATCCCGGCACTCTGAGGCAAGGCGATACCAGAATGCCACAAGTCAATCGACTGAATCAGCTCTCCTCGCCTGTTCGGGCTGCTGTTCAACCCTCTGGCCCGCCAGGTCTGACGCGGATCAGAAGGCTGGCTGGCAGCTGCCACACAAGTTGCATGCTGATTTCTTTCAGTCCTCTGTCGAAAACTTTATTCTTAAATCTATTCACTAAAATAAAATGATTCACTGCAAAGTATCTCGGAGATGGGCAAGATCCTATTTCGTAGCCGTACATGTTGGAGGTTAGGGTTAGGGACTGCGATTAGGTATCAGGGTTGTGGGTTGGAGTTGGGGTTAGGGTAATGGGGTTAGGCTGGGGTCTGTCTACTGCAGGTAAGGCAACGAAATGAGATCTGACCCGGAGATTGTTGTCGTTCATTCTGAGTGGCAGATAAGCGGATTACTGTGTGTGTGTGCGTGCGTGCGTGTGTGTGTGTGGGGAAGAGGGAGGGGGATAGGGTGGGTACTGCCGACGCAATTGCCCTGAGCAGAAGACCCGAGATAGTTCGAAAAGGGTGGAACTCCCTTGCTGTTCGCGCTATCTGCGCATGCAGAACTGTTATACTGATTGGTAGAAAAGTGCCACGCAACGGGTTGGAAGAGGCTAGGTCTGAGAGCGCAGCCCTGATTCACTCTGCTGTTCTCAGCGAATGCCTCCGAGACAGCTTCATTGTCCGTGACTGGCGCCGTCATGCCATCGTTCAGCTGACACACCATCTGAGTGAATCGCTCGGGACAGACGACTTTCTGCATAATTTTCCACCGTCTGTCACGATGCACCATGTCGAAGTCTTTCATCAGATCCACGAGGGTGGAGTAGAACTAGGTCGGCATCTCGTGACGCTTTTCCTGCAGTTGACGGGCGGCGAAGATCATGTCGGTGATGGCGGAAACCAAACTCTGCCTTTTTTTGAAGGTTGGTCGTTCGTTCGAGCCAGTGTAACCTTCGTGGATGCAGGGTGGGTGGTTCGTGCGTTACAAGGACTCGAGTGCGCAGTTTGTGAATATTCATCATCAGATAGGTCAGGAACCGTATCTGTCATGATGACACAGCCATCGCATCGTGTCTCGAAGTCGGTGATGATGATCAACTCGGATCACACGTGAACAACAAGACACCCTGAAACAATGAATTATCAGCCATCTGGGGGCATAGTCTCCTATCAAGTTCCGAAATGTGTTAGTTATGTGTCTTACTTCCTCAGTCCCAATCGCACTCCGAGCTGGTCAGGTGGGAGTGGACGCTATGACCGACAAATCTAGCCGCTTCGCCTGGACGTGCCACACACATGACCTGACCCCCCCCCCTCCCCAGACACAAGCGTCAGGATCTCACACACAAGGGGGTGGGCGACATGCATTTCAAGTGTGTGTGAGCGAGTGTCAGAGGTCATGTCGAGAAGGAGGCATTCCAGCCTGACTCTCAGTCCACCAGTCGACCATTGAGCACAAACGTACCTTGGGGCTAAATGCAAGGCCTGAGTTCCAACGGTAGTTGGCAGTCTTGCAAGTCATCACGGAGTTTAACGCATCGTGACAGTCTCAGGCTCGGATCACACATGCACCAGAGGGGCCACATGCAGA